GGTGTAGGAATTAAAATCATCACCTCCCGCATGCAGACAATTGCTTCTACTGTTCCATGGCCATTTGTGTTATTCCCTCAAGAATGAGGGTCGTCCAGCTCATTTCAAGTGTGCTCAGTGACTCCAATCTGTTGGTCAACCAAGTGAGATAGGTTGTCACTATCAGTGGGCCAATCAAGTCCATCCGTGAGATAGCAAAAACATAGGCGTGGGATTGGAACCATTAAACTTCATGTGCACCAAAAGCAGGCGTCCCAATACTGTGGTTTGGCAATATAGTGTCCCTGTGTGCATAAACACCCTTACAACATATACACTCTCCAGGGGCGGACTGGACCATTTCAAGAGTCTCTGGAAACTCAGGGTACTGTTCACCCCGAGGGCACTCAAAAACAGGAAGGTCAGTAGGGGGCAAACGACATAAAAATGCCCACAGTTCTGGAACAACATTTTTCATAGAGATTTGTTTTGAGTTTGGGAAGGAAACAGTATGGAGAAGGGGAACTGCTCATGATCCCCTAAGCATACCACCTCATCATGAAGCATGGTGGTGGTAGTGTCAGTGGGCCGCCAATGGAACCCTTGTATTTATTGAAACTTCTGACAAAAAATGAATTTGAAGTGTTTCGGGCAGTATTATCTGCTCATATTCAGCCAAATATTGGACGCTTCACAGTGGATGACAAAAAGCAGACTGCAAAAGTCCACCAGTAAGGGAACCAATGGAATGTTATGCAAAAAGTTCACCTGATAATCCTAGCACCCACACTTGCTGAAGACAAAACTGAAGGGAAAATGCCCCAAGAACAAGGAACTGGCAAAAAGGCCTGGCAGAGCATCACCAGGATGAAACCCAGCGTCTGGTGATTTGCGTTCCTGCAGGTAAAAAAAATTGCAACCAAGTATTAAAAAGTCAGTTTGATTTATGATTCCCCCGAGAGGTCCCTTAACAAGTGGGATATTCCCTGGTAATTTAACTTTACCTATAAATGTTACATCCAGTTATATTTTCTGTGTGGTGTCTAGGAGAGAATTATTCGGTCCCAATATTATGGATGAGTTTAGTATTTGTATTTGGTCCAATGCAGGTACAGTTCTTTAGATGAATGTATGCTGATTCTAACCAGAGACTCCAGATATTTGTGAAAGAATGGGTCTCAAGCTCCCCAAGCGTGGTCCCGTGATAGGTGGCCACCTGTGCAATAAGTCCATCCGTTGGGATTCCATTAAAGTTCATGTGCGTTTAAAAGCAGGCATCCCAATACGCAATACAGTGTGTGTGTGTATATATATGATTTCAAAAATATTAAATATTTAGTGGCAGTATGTTTTCACACATAGGGGCTGGACTCCATCCATTCAACCATAAAAAAAGGAATCCTACACCGGGCAGCTGATCCGAGGAAGGCAAAATACCCAGGGGTCAATTTGTGCAGGGGAAAAAATTCCTTCCTGATCCCCCGAGAGGCAATCAGATATTCCCTGGACCACCTATAAATGTACATCCTTTTTCATAGGCATTATTTTGAGTATTTGGTCCAATGCAAGGATGATTTAACAGGGGCCCATGATCCTTCCTATTGCCGCAACCCTTTAATACAGTTCCTCATGTTGTGGGACCCCCCCATAAAATTGTTTACCCATTAATTTAATTCATGAGTCCGTTTTACCTCCAATACTGCGTTCACATCTCCAGTGTTTTCACCCGTGCGCTTTTTTTTTAACGCAAAAAGTATGCGTTTTCTGATTTTAGGGTTCTATGGACGTCAATGGAAACACTGCATAAAAAATTTTTTGCAGTGTTTTGCATTTTAAATCTGCCTAGCAAGAGGAAAAAAAAAAACAAAATGCATGTTTAAAAATGCAAAACGTACTGCAGAAAGGGATCAACCGCAAACTGAAAAAAAAAAACCATAGGTGTGAACTTAGCCTAAGAATTAGTAGGCTATTGGTTGTTTTTTTTGGTTGTTTTTTTTGGTTGTTTTTTTTTTCTAAATAGGTGAAAAATAAAACATGACTGCTCTGCTATTGCTGTCACTTTTTGCAGAAAGCACATCTCTCTTCCATCCTCCTATAATAACAGAGGAATGGACGGAGCCCCGGCTGCCCTTGTGACTTGCATTTAATGTCTAATCCTTTATTATAATAACTCTCCAGTGTAAACAGGCAGCACCAGAGCACAATGGCATAACTCCCATTCTTGGATCCCATCCTGGGAAAATATAGGCCGTGCCCCCATTCCACCCCCCATCTGGACTGCCAGGACCCAGCACTGATCTACAGATCCAATATTGGGCTGAGCATGTGACAGTCCAGGGACAACTTGCTTTTTATTTAAGAGAGAACTTATCTGTGAACATCTGTCGTGTCCCCTAAATGTTATATTAATAAAAAGTCATTTTATATTATTTTTCGCTATGATTGGAGTCAAAGTCTAACTGGCAGTATTCAGTAGTAGCTGAAAGTGGCCCATAGATGTCATTCAAGCCAGTGGCGTCCCGAGGCAGGTGCGGGGGGTGCGCGCCGCACCGGGTGACACCTACTGCACGGGGTGACCCACTCCACGAAAAGATAAGTTGTAAAGCAAGCTGACGATCCCCACAGGATGGATCGGATCCATCCTGTGGGGATCGTCGGCTTGCTTTACAGCTTACCTTTTTGTGGAGCGGGTCCGGTGTCACCCTGTATAGGTTGCATGCCGACAATCCCCGCAGGATGGATGGGATCAGGGGCGGACTGACAACTCATGGGGCCCCTGGGCAATAGGGGATCATGGGACCCCTGTGTCCTTCCCCAAAGTCAAAGCACACCCAAAAAAGCCTATAAAAAAATGTAACGGGCATTTCATGGGGCCCCCTACTGACCCCGGGCCCTTGGGCAGTGCCCAAGTGTTCGAAAGGTCTCCGTCCCAGGATGGGATCTGCAGATTGGGGAGCATAATGTATTGGACTCCGATCCATTATGCTCAATCCTCAGATCCGATCCATCCTGCGAATGGTCATCCCACCCCGGATGGGATCTGCAGATGGGGGAGCATAATGTATTGGACTCCGATCCATTATGCTCAATCTGCAGATCCGATCCATCCTGCGGGGATCATCGGCATACAACCTATACGGGGTGACACCGGACTCGCTCCATGAAAAGGTAATTTGTAAAGAAAACCGACGATCCCCGCAGGATGGATGAGATCTGCAGATTGGGGAGCATAATGGATCGGAGTCCAATCCATTATGCCCAATCCGCAGATCCGATCCATCCTGCGGGGATCGTCGGAGGGGGTGTCACCAAGTGTTACCGCACTGGGTGACACCAACCCTAGGGACACCCCTGATTCAAGCTGAACTTCAAGCAAACAGCTACATCCACAAATAAAATCCATATAAGGGAGCTGTTTATTCCACAAAGAATTTGTAGCCCCGTCCATCCAGTCCTGAGATTTACACAGCTCTGCTAAACAGTACGGCAGGGCAGGAGACCTGAACTTTCCCTGTTGTAGTTACACTTTCACATATACTGTAGGTCTCCTTTGCACCCCAACCTGTGAAGAAGAAGCAGCAGCGGCAGCAGACTATTGAGATGATTTCTATGTCACTCTGCTCTCTCCTCCTATCAGCATGTTCCTTGCAGCAACACACCTGATTGGCTCCTTGTGCTGCTTCCTCTTTCCCTCAGTCTGAGTTCTACTGTATCATATACTGCAAGGGGCTTATATCAATTCAGGCATTTAAACTTCTTGCATCTAAAAAATCCAATTCATGACGTATTAATGCAAACCGATCCACATTGAATGGTGGCATTTCTATCTGCCTGGACAGCAGCTTTAAAGCCTATGGCTGGCCATACACTATACAATTTTCTGTTCAATTTCTGCCCAATTTCCTTTAGATTTACCTTCAACCAGGGGCAGACTGACCGTTTGGGCACTCGGACACTGCCCAAGGGCCCTGGGTCAGTAGGGGGCCCCATGAGATGCCCCTGGCATCTTTCATAGGCTTTTGTGGGTGTGGGTGTGGTTGAGTGTGGTTGAGGACACAGGGGCCCCATGATCCCTGATTGCCCCGGGGCCCCATACATTGTCAGTCTGCCCCTTCCTTCAACTATGTAATACAAGGGCCTGCTTGGATACAATTGAAAGTGTTGTTCAGGTTTGACCTCATATTATATGGTTTTTGGTAAATTTAAAGCAGATTTCTAAAGAAAGTTGTATAGTGTATGGCCAGCCTATTACTGCGCACACGACTGCATGACTTCTACCGCACAGCATAAGAAGAGTAGGTGCCACCAGACCGGAGGTGCAGCATAGCCACAGGTCACACGTGTGGGGTTCACCTTGTAACCGAAATGCTGACGGCAGTGAATGGGCTTCTAGACGCAACACACATTACCATACATTCCAGGTGAATGGGGAATCCCCCCCCCCCCCCTGAATTTCCATCCATCTATAGCCAACGTAACTCGAATGAGTGGCGTCATCGGTGGCCAACCAATGAAGAAAACTGAACCCTGGAGGAGGGAGGGAGACGATGACAGCGTTGGCGAGGGGGGAGCGCAGGCGGCACAACGATGAAGGAGGGCACTTTGGGAGGTTTTCTACCAGACATTTTCGGAACTCATACTGACCGAGACAATTACTGTTCATCCTTTTAAACCAATCTAGGACATTATAATGGCTTCCCAAGCCGGGGGTAACATTACAGTTTTTTTTCCTTTTGCCCCGTCTCCAGACTAAAGTGATATTTCAGTTTTTGGCAGATATCAGAGTTTAACCACCAATAGTATTCCTGCATCTTTCGAGGAATTTATCGGTGAATCCATTACTAGGGGGTTCCCACCATGCTTGTGCTGAGTTCTAGATCTACACACCTGCTGGGTCCATTATGAGGGGTGCCCACCGTTACTGCACTGAATTTCTGAGTCTGCACACTTGCTGTGTGCATTATAAAGAGTTCCCACCATCCCTGTGCTTAGTTTTTGGGTCTGTACACCTGCTATGCCCATTATAAGGAGTGCCCCAATCCATGTGCTGAGTTCCTGAGTCTGTACACCTGCTGTGCCCATTATGAGGAGTTCCCACCATCCCTGTACTGAGTTCCTGGGTCTGTGGACCTGCTGTGCTCATTATGAGGGGTTCCCACCATCCCTGTGCTGAGTTCCCAGGTCTGTACACCTGCTGTGCCCATTATGAGGGGTTGCCCACCATCCCTGTGCTGAGTTCCCGAGTCTGTACACCTGCTGTACCCATTATGAGGGGTTCCTACAAACTCTATGAAGAGTTCTCAGGTCTGTATACCAGCTGTGCCCATTATAAGGGGTTTCCACCATCCCTGTGCCAGGTTTCCAGGTCTGTACACCTGCTGTACCCATTATGAGGGGTTCCCACCATCCCTGTTCTGAGTTCTCGGGTCTGTGGACCTGCTGTGCTCATTATGATGGGTTCCCACCATCCCTGTGCTGAGTTCCCAGGTCTGTACACCTGCTGTGCCCATTTTGAGGGGTTCCCACCATCCCTGTGCTGAGTTCCCGGGTCTGTACACCTGCTATGCCCATTTTGTGGGGTTCCCACCATCCCTGTGCTGAGTTCCCGGGTCTGTACACCTGCTGTGCCCATTATGAGGGGTTCCCACCATCTCTGTACTGAGTTCCCGGGTCTGTACACCCGCTGTACCAAATATGAGGGGTTCCCACCATCCCTGTACTGAGTTCCTGGGTCTGTGGACCTGCTGTGCTCATTATGAGGGGTTCCCACCATCCCTGTGCTGAGTTCCCGAGTCTGTACACCTGTTGTGCCCATTATGAAGGGTTCCCACCATCCCTGTGCTGAGTTCCCAGGTCTGTACACCCGCTGTACCCATTATGAGGGGTTCCCACAAACTCTGCGGAGATTTCCCAGGTCTGTATATCAGCTGTGCCCATTATAAGGGGTTTCCTCCATGCCTGTGCTGAGTTCCCAGGTCTGTACACCTGCTGTGCCCATTTTGAGGGGTTCCCACCATCCCTGTACTGAGTTCCCGGGTCTGTACACCCGCTGTACCCATTATGAGGGGTTCCCACCCTCCCTGTACTGAGTTCCCGGGTCTGTACACCCGCTGTACCCATTATGAGGGGTTCCCACCCTCCCTGTACTGAGTTCCCGGGTCTGTACACCCGCTGTACCCATTGTGAGGGGTTCCCACCATCCCTGTACCGAGTTCCCGGGTCTGCACACCTGCTGCGCCCATTATACCCAAATTGCGGTAGAGCAGCATCTGCTAGGCATTCAGGAGGTGATACGCCCATTTTCTATCTATTTTCATGGCAGTCAATGCCAGTCCATCAAAGTGCATATAATAGAAGTGTTATACAACACACAATGCACAGCGGATATCACCAAGCATGAATGGCTGGTCTAATCCCAGATGGAAACGTACGTCAAAGTGCATTAAAACGCATGTCATGTGCCAAGGAAACGCACATTGATGCATGACAAAGCACCTGCCTGACACTTCCAAAAAACTCACGTCAACGCACATACATGGATCCAAGGCAAGGGTCACACATTTTTATTTGTTTTTGTGGTTTTTTGTATACTTGCATTCAGGCTCCATTCACAGTCGTGCGACAAGTGGCAGCCCATTTCTTTCAATGGCACCCATTCAAATCGGTGAGACTTAAAGTCGCAGCGACTCTGTAAAGGTGCCTGCACAACTTTGATGCGACCTTTGAGAGCCCAGAGTGTAAAGTCGCATTCAAAGTCCCACTGGATATTGTCCGACTTTGCGCAAGTGTACGTGGAGTCTCAGTGCGCAGTCCTGCATCCATACTTTCATGCGTTTGTAATGTGTTTCTGCGTTTCTTTTTTTTACCAAGTTCCATTTGCTTGTGAACGTGTTGTGCGCAGGGGCAGACTGACCATTTGGAAACTCTGGCACTGCCCGAGGGCCTGGGGTCAGTAGGGGGCCCCATGAGATGCCCCTGGTACCTTTTTTCATAGGCATTTTTGAGTTTGGGCAAGGACACAGGGGCCCCATGATCCCCTATTGCCCGGGGGGGACCCCATGAGTTGTCAAGCCACCCCTGGCTTGTGCCTTCGTGTCCATTCCAGTGTGAAAAAAATGCAGCGTGTTGTACTTTTTTAAACTAGACTTGTAGAAATATATTCATTTTTCTTGCTTGTGCATTTGTACTGCGTTTAAAAAGGCATTGACTACATATGGGCCTGTTCACTGCAGAATGCCATGCGTTTTTCTTGCCTTTGCTAGATGCATGCGGGTGCAATTAATTGTTAATGGCACCCCAAAAGCATCTACATACACACATGCATTTGCGGCCAGCAGTCTGTACGGTACCACAGGACCATGCGATTTGGCGGGGCGTGATTTTAACCCCTTCACACCTAAGGGTGAAACAAATCTAAATGCCTAAGCAAAATTTTGCAACGTTGACATGTGTTAGTAAAACCGTACGTATCATCACAATTACTTTGTACATCCAGGTGGATTATACAGCATTTTTTTTCAGGACAAATTGGTCTTTCATCTGGTGGTAAATGGTAATGGATATCTCCTGATTATTTTTATTATCAAAGGAAAACTGGCCCAAAATAGTAAAAAAAAAATAATTTTTTTTATTTATCTGTGTGTTTCTTGTTACTACCACAACCTACCACCAAAGAACAACCCAAAATAAATTCTCCAGCTCTTGACGATCGCAGCGATACCATATATGTGTATGTTGTTTGTTGTTTGTACCCGTAGTACAGCCCAGAAACAATAGTGCGCATTTTGTTTTTGACTTTTTTTTTTTTTTTTTACCTAAAACACATTGACACTGACACTAACTGACACTGATACCAATTTTTTTTCTAAATCCTTAACTTTTGACCTTGACCTTTGACCCTGACCTTTGACCCTGACCTTGACCCAAACACTAACCCTGGCACTGAACTAGATAAAACTTTGATCTAGGTATTTTTTTTTTTTTTTCTTTTCTTTTTTAATATTTATTTATTTATTTATTTTTGTTCTACAAACATTTTTTTTCCCTCTATGTCAGGAGTTAGAGAGATACAATGTATCTCCTCCATTCATAGAAAGAGAAAAAAACAAGTGGGTCGGGCTGTACAGTGACTGATCACTGTGATAGCCAATCAGAGGCTATCACAGCGATCACGTGACCCGGAATCGGGAGTCCCAGGTCCCAATCGTTAGAACGGGACCCGGAGCTCTCAGTGACACCGTGGTCTTTGTGCTGGGAGCGGCGCACTCCCAGCACAAAGACAGGTAGGCAAATATGCTGCCCCACGGAAAAAAGCCCAGTTCCGTGATGCCGCATATTTGTGTGACGTCGGCGTCAAGGGTTAATTGCCCGTTCGCAACAGATGTAGTGGGATGCATTTTTGACTGCACTTTAACTGCATTAGACAGTCCAAAATCTAAGTTGTCCTATGGGCATAGTTCACACTATTGCAGTGCAGTGCAAAAAAAAGGACAGAAAGCAGCATTTTTCTGCACTACAAATACACAAAAATGCACTCAAATGCTTGTAAATGCACAAAAATACACTGCAGTGAACATAAAAGCCCAAAGAAGATGGAAGTAACATCAAAAGAAATGCAAGCTTAGGAAAAATGCACTGCAAATGCATGTAAATGCGTGTAAAAAACGCACGTCTAATGCAAGTCACTGCTCATGCAAAAATGTGCATTAAACACACAGTTTCTGGTGTGAATGGGTCCTTAAAGTTGTGTCTGCCATACTTTTTTGCATGTTCCCATGTGTTTGGCAGCCCATTAAAATGAATGGACTGTAAATGGACCGCAAATGCATGAATGTGCATGTAAAAAACACACGTCTAATGCAATTCACGGCTCATGCAAAAATGTGTAGTAAATGCAGTTTCTGGTGTGAATGGGCCCTTAAAGTTTTGTCTGTGATACTTTTCTGCATGTTCCCACGTGTTTGGCAGCCCACTGAAATTAATGGACCGCAAATGCATGCAAATGTGCGTAAAAAACACACGTCAAATGCAATTCACGGCTCATGCAAAAATGTGTAGTAAATGCAGTTTCCGGTGTGAATGGGCCCTTAAAGTTTTCTCTGTGATACTTTTCTGCATGTTCCCACGCGTTTGGCAGCCCACTGAAATTAATGGACCGCAAATGCATGCAAATGTGCGTAAAAAACACACGTCAAATGCAATTCACGGCTCATGCAAAAATGTACAGTAAATGCACAGTTTCTCGTGTGAATGGGCCCTTAACCTCTTGGCGCCAGCTGAACGCAAATGTGCGGCATCCTGGCGTCTGGACCTAGACACAGAGCGGCCGCACATTTGCGTTCTATTAAAAAAAAAAACATGTGCTGAGAGCATGCGCCCTATGCGCTCCCAGCACACACGTTCGGTACTCATGGAAAGGTCCCGATCTCCTCTTTCGATCGGGACCTTTCCTGATCATGTGACCGTGTCACGGCAGTCACATGACCGCAAACCCCGCCCAATGGAAAGGTCCCGATCTCCTCTTTCGATCGGGACCTTTCCTGATCATGTGACTGTGTCACGGCAGTCACATGACCGCAAACCCCGCCCCGCCTCCCGGCTTCTGAAACCCTTAAAGGGCCAGGAGGCATCGGTACCAAGAGGTTAAAGTTTTGTCTGCCATACTTTTTTGTATGTTCCTACGCGTTTAGCAGCCCATTAAAACGAACAAACTGTGAAAAACGCACTGCGCAGGAATGCGCAAAAACACACATCCATTAATGCACGCTTTCAGTGTGAACTGGCCCTGTATTAGCCCCTTCCGCAGTCTTCATGCTTTATTTATGTGCTCCTATTGCATTCATGGGGACCACAATGCACCAAAAGAAGCTCCTGTTCCTTTTTCCAAGTCGCACGGAAATAAATGGCGTAAGTGTAAATGGGCTCCATAAACAATGATAACGTTGATGATAACAATGACAATTGTCCGGCATTGTCGCACGATGACCAAATTGCAAACAAACGCAAATGAAGACTGTACAGTACAACGGGTAACGGTTCCTTCTTATTTTTGCATCCTGAGCCTCGGTGTATAAATGCCGCATTCTGGGTTTATAACTCTCAGGGGGCAAAAAAACAAAACTGTCCTCCTAATTAATAGTAAATATTGGTTTGTGAGTGGTGTGATAAAGACAATTAGGCGGCTTTTCTGTAGAATGTGAATCCTTGTTGTGTCCACAGGAGGAAGAGTGAGGAATTTCACATGCGGGAGGGAGAGGGACGGGGAAAGGTGTGCAGTGCCCAGATGTATGGGGAGAGGCTGGGACAAGGGGAGAGGGACCATGTGGGAGAAGACAGATGGGAGGGGAGAGGGGCCGAGACATCAAGCAGTGACAGCTGACACCAAGGGACACAGGGTGATGGAGAATGGGAAGGTAGAGGCAGGTTAGGTGACAACCAGGAGGAAAGAATTGGCAGGGAAAAGTTCTGGATGTCGCCAATTAGTGACATTCGGAAGGAAAGGACTGGAGGTTAGGGGTGAAAAGAGGGGAAAGTGGGTGAAAGTGGGTGTGTTTAGTGAAAGGGATCTTAGA